GCAATGTTGTCCATAGCTTGTCATGATCCACACAATTGAAAGCCTCTGTGTAGTCAATAATGCACAAGTAAACAAAATCCAACATCCATTCCTGATAAAAACACTCAACAAAGTAGGAATTTAAGGGAAATTCCTCAACATAATTAAGAGCATATATATAAAACCAATAGCCAACATCACTCTCAGCGGAGAGAAACTGAAAGGCTTTCCCTTGAAAATAGGGGAAGTCTTAGCAAGAGCTATAAGGAAAATAAGAAAATTTAAGGCATCAAAATTGACAAAGAAGAAGTAAAACTCTCTCTTTGCAGATGATATGACCCTATACAAAGAAAACCCCAAAGGCTTAGCAAAAAAAGCACTGGAACTCATTGGAAGATTCAGCAAAGTGGCAGGTTACAAGATCAACATACAAAAATCAGTTGGATTCCTTTATACTAATAATGACAGCACTGAAAAAGAAATTAGGACCGCAATACCATTTACAATAGTCACCCAAAAGATGAAATATTTAGTCCTAATGATGGATGCATGACCCCTCTATGCTGCTGCTCTCATCTATACACCGTGATGCCCGCAGACCCGAGCACCTCCTGGCCTGAAGTTGGCCACCCTGGCAAGGGCTGATTTCCGGGTAGAAAAAGTGATACCTTTCTGCACTGGAGAAAGTGGTTTGTCAAGAAAGGAAAGAATCCTGCAAGAAGAGGGGATGCTTTAGAAATTCAAGGGTATGCTATTGAAGGGCTGCTGCTGAGAATCAAACATCTGCTTCAACAGGCATCAAGATGAAGACATTAAATCCACTGGGACAGAACTTAAAAAAAAGAAAAGAAACTGAAGTCATCAACAAGTAAAAAATACTGGATATAAGAGCTTATAAAAATAGCGTATAGGGCAAGAGCAGAATGAAAAATGTGTAACACATGTGCTATTTGCATAAAACTACAGCCGGCCTTTTGTGGAATTAAACAGAGTCTATAATATCCTAAAGTAACTTCTACAAATCCACCTCAAAACTGAAGCATCAGAAAAATAAAATTAACTCAAAAAAAGTAAAAAGGTAAGACACTTACTTGGTGCACACTACGTGAGTAATAACATCTCTATGCATATAACTGCGCTCATACATGGATGCACTGGGGAGATTGTCAAGATAGACTCTTTCAAACTCTAGAACTGAAGAAAAAGTGAAAAAAAAATATTTGTAAGACAAATGGAACTAAATATTATTTTGTATTTTCTTCATTTAAAAAGTTCTATACTCTATTTTGGTAGCGTAGTGGTTACGTGGTGGGCTGCTAACCGAAAGGTCAACTGTTCAAATCTATCAGCCACTCTGAGGGAGAAGGACAAGGCTTTCTGCTCCTGTGAAGATTTACAGCCTCGGAAACCCTACACAGGATCACTAAGAGTCAGAACCAATTTGACAGCACACCACTATCACATTTTACTTTGTATTTTCTCCTAGATTTTAGTTGTTCTAAATTCACATGTAATGATGAAAAATATCCAGTGTCTGCTATGTCATATGCAACTGTTATTATTCCAAAGTACTTAATTATTTAGTCAGTCATG